TCCAGTTAGAAAAACCTTGAGTATGAGCCTAGTTGATGTCATCTGGGGATATGCCTGGCTACGTGTGGGGAAGTTTGCCTTCTGAAGATTGTCCAGAGAATAATTTATTTTTTCACCCACAGCAAACTGTGAAGATTGTCTGCTGAGATGCAGAGGGTTGAGTTCTATTTTGGTGGAGGGAGAACTCCTATTAATGAAATCGGGGATCCTTGATGGATTATCAAAGTCTTCTCCATGTAGGATTGCAGGCTAGTTAAAATGACTACAGCCTATCAAGTTTTCCATGACTAGGCTTGGATTTTTTTCTCTTTTCTGCATAGAAGAATCACAAAAGCAGTTCTATGTAGTGTTAGCTTTCAGTAGGAAGCAGAGACTTACAATAATCAGAGTGGTAATAATAATAGCTAACATTTACATAGCACTTATTATGTACCAGGAATTGTGTTAAGTATTTTATAATTATTATCTCATTTGATCCTTACAACAACCCTGGGAGGTAGGTGCTATTATTATCCCCATTTTACAGATGAGGAAATTAAGTCAAACAAAGGTTAAGCGACTTGCTCAAGGTCACACAGCTAGGCAGTGTCTGAGACTGGATTTGAACTCAAGTTTTTCCTGACTCCAGGCCTGCTGCTCTATCTATTGCACCACCTAGGTGCCTAAATATGTTACAAATATGTTTCTGTTTAGCAGAACCTCAATTTATTGAATAATTTAATGGGGTGCAGTGGAAAGAACAATGAATTTATAAACATAGGATCTGAGTTCAAAGTCTGGCTCAAGCCTTACTGCTTGTGTGACCTTGGGCAAATCACTTAACTTCTCTGGTCATCAGTTTACTGATGTGGAAAATGAAGGTCTAGACTTGTAAGAAGAATTATAAGGAAGATTTATAAAGCCCTTTATAAAGCCTGGCTCTGTGAATCTGTGAACCAAACCACAATTTGAACCAAACCTCCATAGAAGGATCTTAGAACGTGAGGAAAAGAAAAGAAATGGATTTAATCCATGTTATGAGAAATCTCTAGAACACTCAGACTGATGTTGGAATTGGTTTGTCCTTGGCATTTTAATTTAGTAAGGGGAGAGCTCTGGATATTAGTACTTTAGGGAAAGTGTTAAGACTTAAGTGCTTTAAGGAGGCAGCTAGGTGGCGCAATGGATAGAGCACTGGCCCTGAAATCAGGAGGACCTGAGTTCAAATCCGGCCTCAGACCAAACACTTGACACTTAACTAGCTGTGTGACTCTGGGCAAGTCATTTAACCCCAATTGCCTAAAAAAAAAAGGCTTAAGTGCTTTAATCTCATCTTTATCAAAATCCCCAGAGTCATCTAGGTTTTGTGAAGACAAGGAAAAGGAAATCACAAGGCACTGAAAAGAGGTCATGACTGAGTCTGGTCTCCATCTTCCATCCTCTTTACCTGCTGCTAAATTTAAGGAGCATGTGAAATTGTTAACTCCTGAGAAAACTAAATCCAACAGTAAGGTTTTACTATGTGGTGATGATGGTTGGGATGGAGAGAGGAGAAAAGAGGATTTTTTTTAAAAGCATCTATTAATGTGGATGCTGTCACCAAATTGTTAACTTTTTGGAAAGTTCGGTATCTCCTTATTTAAGATATTTAAGTGAATTCTCATACTTCAGAGACGGTAATATAATTGTCAGGTAGGGTTCATTTTTGTCATTTCTTTTTAGATACATAGTAGAACCTGTGTGTCTCAGACAGTGATTCACTTAACTTAAAATAATCTCCCCATTAAAAATGTACATATATACACACATATATTTATATACATTGATAAATATATGTGTGTGTGTATATATATGTGTGTATACATATATGTGTGTATATATATATATCCTACTCTCTTAGATGTATGAATGCAAACCAGCAAATGGAAATACATTCTCTAATGTCAATTACTTCTATCAGTATTACATCATCTGGTCACAGGAGGTTAAGCAGCTAGAAAAATTCTATTTTCTCCATGCAACATGGATAAGAATAGCTGATTTGGAGTATTGATGAAATAGAACTACTGTAAATTAGATGTTCCTCTCCCTCTCCCTTTCTCTCTGCCTTTTCATCTCTTAGACATTATTCTAGTCAGGTTAAAATAATAATACTACATTATTAAATTTGGAGATAAAAGAGATTTAATTTAGCAATCTTCCATTGAAATTTTGAGGGGTTATTTTTTAAAGTGAATGTGTCAAAACATAAAAAATGATTCTCTTTAGGGTGATAAAAAGTAGCCTGACACTGGGGTGTTGTTGGTGAAGCTGTGAATTGGTGCCACCTTTTGGGCTATTGAAAACAAGAGCTATAAAGCCACTCAAATCCTCTGACCTAGCAATCCCATTATAAGGATGTTACCGACAGGTAAAAAAATCCCACAACTGAACAAAACCAAATGTCTATAGTAAAATTATTTGTAATAGCAAACAAAACAAAAACAAAAATGCAAATGACCTGTGTGCCCAATGAATAGGGAAGGGCTCAATAAATTGTGATATCTAAATGTAACATTATGCCATACCAAACTATAAATATAAACAATATGAAGAAATATGTGAAGACTTATATGAAGTGACACAGAGCAAAGAAAGCAGAATTATAGCAAAAAATGTAAGAACAATAATGATGAAAATAAAATTTGGAAAAAATACACAGAAGGAAAAAAAATTCAGAGGGAGAAATGGAAATACTCAGAGTGCTTTCTTAATATTCTATTAATGTTTATATTAGCTGGATGAAGCATTTATGAAGCACATTCTTGGTCCCAAGCATTGTGTGATGCAAGGCTCGAATATATAAAGGGTCTGCAATTTTGGCAGTATAGAAATTATTTCCCCAAATAGATTTTTACCCAACTCTGACCTGGTAGATAAAACCTAGAGAGATATCTGAGGCACATAGAGATTAAGTGACTTGCCCAAGGTAATACATACATAAATGTCTAAGACAAAATTTGAATTTAAGTTATAATGATTATAAGCCCAACCTTCTACTATGCCGTAATGTCTCTAAAGTTAATATAGGGATAGGAACTAGAACTGTGATTTTATTGATGTAGGGAACTCCCAGATGAGGAAGTTTCCTGTGTCAAGGCATTATCACATCTCCTTTGTAACTTAAAGTCTTAAAGAGCATTTAAAAGATGAATGACTTGCCCAGGGTCACAGAGATAATATGTGTCAGAGCCAGGATTTGGACCCAGCTCTTTCTGTCTCTGAGATCATATTCACTGTTATATTGCCTCTATTGTGTTAATATACACTATATATAAATATATATGCTTACAGTTTTATGTGTGATCATTCAACATTTTTCCTTTTGTGTTTGAATGTTAATTTTTGGTGACAGTCGCTAAGTTTAGAACAAATAATTTTGGGGGTGGGGAGGGGAGAAGGAACTATTATTTACTCAAACATCCTTAACTGGTATTTAATGATATTTGAGAGATTTTGATCATACTTATGCATCCCTCAAAACATGATATGAATCATTGGGCTCAAATAACAGTGTGAGCCATGGCCCCAGCAGTAGCCTTTATCACTATTACTTTCTTGTTCAGGATTTATTCTGCGTAAAAAAATCAAAGATACACCACTCAGTCCTTCAAAGTACTTGGAATGTTGGGGATGAGGAAAGTTTTACAGAACATGAAAAGGATGCAGCTCCTGTCCTCAAAAAGTTTAAAGTCTAAATGAGTTGTACAGAATAATGGGCCTAAGAGTATCCACATAAATTTAACTAAATTATTCCTATGTTTAGGCTCATATAATATTTGTAAATAGGTAAAGCAAAGAGGGTAGAGACCTTTATGACAGAGAGTCAGTTTAGAACTTCACTCCAACTTTTTACAGAAGCAAAAAACTAGAAACAAAGTGGATGTCCATCAATTGGGGAATGGGGAAATGCATTGTGGCATATGAATGAAATGGAATATTAATACACAATAAGAAACAAGGAGTGTAAGGTTTTTAAAAAAATGGGAGGACATGGTAAACTGATACAGAAATAAGTATGTACAGTGACATAAATAAAAACAACACTAAGAGGCAACCAAATACAGATTATTTTGAACTTAATTAAATTAAATTAGTTATTTTGAAATTAAATTGAACTAAACAATGTCAGTCCTAGAGAATAAATTATGAAATTATACTTTCCTCTTCATGTTAGAAGGTTCATGGGTGCAAAATATTGCATTATGAGGTGAGGTGGTTTCATTGGTCAGTTTTTACTTAATTGTTTTTCTTTGTTACAAGAGGGCTCAGTAGTGTGCATGGGTAGTGTAGTTTGGGGAATGACTATGTTATAAATAAAAAAAAAGAACTTCCCTCTATGTTCTGATTCAGCAGAGCAAGTTGGGCAAGAATTCTAGCTTCTCATTGTATTTTACAGTTAGAAAGAGCTTTTAGCACATTATTTCATTAGCTTCTCAAAGTATCCTTGTAAGGTGGTTGGTTGGTGAGTTTTGTCTAGTCTAGACGCGTGACTTTATCAGTGTAAGGAACTCCTGGTGGGTAATCTCTCTACCAACATAGATTGACAATGATTCTAAAATTTATAATCTTAGTGGGTTGTCTGTACTACTAAAAATCAAGTGACTTATTCAAGGACATATAGCTAGTATTTATCAGAGGTTAATCTTGAACCCTGGTCTTCTTAACCCTGAGGACAATTCTCTTTCCTTTATTCCTTATGGCCTATCTGCAAGATTTCCCATTTTACAGAAAAGGCAAAATTATAGACTCTCATGCTTCCCCTGCCCCCTTTCTTTGCAGACTTTTATCCTTGTCCTTGTCTCTTATAAACAGCTCAAAGTTGACATAGTGCCAAGTCCTATTTCAGTCCATTTGCCTTCAGAGGAAGGGCTCAGCAGCTACAAGATTGGTGGCTCTAATGTCTGCATGCTCCCAAAGCTGAAGAGATAAGACCAATAAAGAACCCCCACATTTCCCAGCAAAGGGTAGCTTTTACTTACATAATTTGCAGCAAGATCTGGATGGAGATAGTCAATTCCTGTAAGAAGGGAACAAAAGCACAGAAATCAGAGGTTAATGCCTTCAGAATGTGTTCCTAGCATCACTGCACTAGCTATTGCCTCTGATTTTCTTCCCTACACCACCCACCTCCTTGACCCCACCACATGCACTGCAAATTATTGTGAAGATTGCAAGTCAGACTGATGCCATGTTAGCTACCTGCCTCAAAGGTTTCCCATTACTGTCTTAAGATGAGATGTACTGGCAAATAAGCATCAGTGTCAGTCAGGAGAGACATGCTAGATGAATATGTCCCAATATAGTTGGGGCTAAAGGGTTGGAATTCATAACACAGATGTTAGAATTTATGACCAATGATTCATTAAAACCCCTTCCTGGGACAGAGGTGTAGAAATTCTTACATTTTACATTTAACTTAAATTTACATACAATTTAAATTTTTAAGTCTCTTACAAATTCATACATTTTCATTGCAGCCTTCAATATTACAGTCATGGATGAGATCATCTTGTCAGAATAGGAAGGTAGTGTTGATGTAAACAAGATATATACATAGAAACAGCCAGAATTAGGAACATATCTTTATGTATAACCAGTGAGCACCAACCTATGTTTCAATCCTAATCCAGGTTACTCCTAGTTGGTATATTCAAAGATACTTGAGGGGGTGGGGTCAGGGCCAGGTAGATGTGGGGGTGGGGGAAGGACACACCTTATTACAGATGAGTGCATTTGTGAAAAGCACCACCCAAATATAAAACAGCCTAAACTCCAATGTTCAAGAACAATTTCAGCTGGCCTAAACCCCTGACAGAGCTGACCAGCTTCTGGATAGACCTCACATATTCTGTGGCATGTCCAAGAATTGTCACGGTGGATCAAGTGTGGCTATATGTCACAAGCCTGCATATGTTCTGACTGTATCTTTTGTTTCAGCATCAAAAAATTAGCGATGTTTGCTGTAAGCCTGAGCTTAAGACCAAGTGGACCACTGCAAGCTTTGTGGGGGTGGAAACTTTGAGGGAGTTGGAGTGGGAGTGGGGAGAGGTGTATAATTACTGCTTAAAAGAGGAGGTTCCTGGGGGCAGAGAGGGAGAGAAGGAATTTAGAACTCAGAAATTTTAAAATGAATTTAAAACGTTGTTTTTTATAGATAATTGGGGAAAAGTAAAATACTCTATGATAAAAAAACAAATCAAAACAAAACAAAATAAAATGTGATCCTCTCCTCCCCCAAAGAGGGTTCCTTGTAATGTCCAGGAGAAGAGGGTCACACAGGAAAGTGCCTTGTGGTCTCTAACAGAAGTTCAGTTTTGAGCATGTGATACTAGTAGCAACTAGGTAGAACAGGAGAGAGAACCCTGGAGGTGGAATCGGGAAGAGGGGGAAGATTAGATGCACATAGTTCTCATCTATTGGATTATGAACTCCTTGAAAGCAGGGGACTGTTTTTTGCCTTTCTTTGTATTTCCAGTGCTTAGCACAGCACCTGATACATAGTGAGTGCTTAATAAATGCTTGTTGACTGATTGACTAATTGAAGTACATTGAAAAAATCTGTTATTATATATAATGCTCCATACCTGTGGAAAGGTATGGGCTGGGAGTCAGGAAGACCTGAGTTCAAATCTGACCTCAGACATTTACTGGCTGTGTGACCCTGGGTAAGTAACTTAACCTTTGCCTGTCTGAGTTTCCTCACTTTAAAATGGAGATAAAAATAAGCATTTACCTCCCCAGAGTTATTATGAAGATTAAAGGAAATTGTATTTGTAAAGCACTTAGTACCATGGCCAGCGCCTAGTACCATGGCCAGCACCTAGTAAGTGTGTAATAAATCCATCCAACCTTTCTTCCTTCCTTCCTTTCTCCTTTCCTTTCCTTCCTTCCTCCTTTCTTTCTTTCCTTCCTTCCTTGCTCCTTTCCTTCTTTTCTTCCTTCCTTCCTTCCTTCCTTCATTCTTCCTTCCTCCCTTCGTCTTTTCCTTCCATCCTTCCTTCCTCCCTTCCTCCCTCTATTATTATCTTTTGTGGTAAAACTTCCTCTTATGAGTGTGTCTTTTGATTCAGATAATCAGTTGTTACATTATTCATTCAGCTAGAGACTGCCTGGCATAGCAGATAGATAGCTGGCCACATTAGTTTCCACGCCTGCCTCTCACATATAATGACTGTGGTCACAGGTGAGTGCCTTGACATCTCAGAGGCTCAGGTAATTCTCTGAGACTATAAGGTGCTGAATGGTTATTGATTTGCTTTAGTAGGAGTTTTTTTGGGGAGTTCTCTATAATGATGGTTAGGATAAAGACAACAACAACAATAACAACTCTTCTTACTCATTTATCAATTCTTGGTATGTACATGTCTGTGAGAACTTCTCGGCAAGTCACTTAATCTCTGTATGCCTCAGACAATTCCCTAGGAATTATCTCCCATATCATAGGCTCATTCAGAACTTCATTGGTAGAAGGCATTCTCATACCAGAAGTTCCCACAAATGACAAAATCACAGATTCTTCTAGTATTTGCAGATCATACATATCAATGTATCTATAATTTGAAAGACCATAAATCCATACATAAACAACCATGTTTTCATTTGTAAACTGATGATATGGGGTATCATGATATGGTGGGTAAAACTCTGGACTTGGAGTAATGAACCTTTGAATCCTGCCTCAGACCCTTATTAGCTGTTTGACTTGGGCAATCACTCAACTGTTTTGGGCTTCGGTTTCTCATCTAAGATGGAGGGGGTTGAACTTTGATGTATAAGGTCCCTTCTAGATTTTCTGTCAGTGATTTAGATTGCCATAGAATCTAATTCACTCAAAATTCCTCAAGGGCCCAGGTTGCCCTGTTGTACCTGCTAAAGGCCCTGCCACTATAATCACTTGGTGGGAGGGTTGCCAGGGAGATCTGTGGTACTATTCATAGTTAAACTTTTAATAACCTAGGGTTTAGAATTGTCACATGTCCATGTCTTAGCCAAGGAAAAACAAGGCCCATGGAGTATATAAACTGGCTAATAGCAAGGAGGGCGAGGCCTTCTTCAGCTAATCTGTTGTATCTCTTGAGAACACAGAGGCAGTGAGCTCAGAAGATGTGGCCTTCCCATCTAAGAGAGAGACTAAAAGCTCTTGAGGGGAATAAGAATGTTAATGGTGAAGCACCTAACAAAAGCAGAGTTCTACTTAGTGGATGGAGCCAATTGGGTAAGTCTGAAGACTTGAGGGGAAAAAAAGGCCTAACTGGGGTTTTAGACATTTTTTTTCCATAAAAGAGCAACTTCTTTCCCAGGGTGTCATGCTTATTGCTACAATGCCTCTGCCTGAAGCTCTCTCTGACTCAGTGGCTGACCTGCCCTTGTCTTGAACATTGACCTTCTGATTTTGACTTCCCCAGGTGCCAGGGAGCCATCCCAACTCCAGTCCCTCATGAGCATCCCTGACATTAACCACCTATCCCATGACTCCTCTCACTCTTGTGACCATCACAAAATCACAGAACTAAAGAATTTCAGCAATGGAAGGAACTGCAGAGGCTGCTTAGCCCCCAACTCGTTGCTGAGGAAGAATCCTCTTTACTACAATGGCAAGTGTCCAGCTTCAGTTTGAACCATCAGGCAGCTCATTGAGCTTTGAGATAGTTCTAATTTCTAGGAATTGTTTTCCTTACTGGAAACAAAATGTTCCTCTAATCAACCTCTACCCATTGCTCCTACTTCTGCCTTCTGGGACCAAGCAGAACAAGACCAGTCCCTCTTTAGGAAGACAACCCTTCAAATACTGGCTGTCCTTATGAAGCTTCTCTTCTTGTCTCCAGGCTATACATTCCCAATTCCTTCAGCCAATCTTCATAGAGCATGCTGGTTTCCCTACTCTGGATGTCTTCTGGCTTATCTGTGCCTATCTTAAAATATGGCACCTAGAAATTAACATGATGATACTCCAGATAAGATCTAAGGCAGGAATATGACTTTACTTACTTTAATCTATATCTTAACTGGAACTTAACTGCCTGCCTTGGGGTGATGGTCAGGCTCTCAGAGGGAGTTCTTGAGACCATATGGCATCCTTACATTGAAAGTGCTGAAGGTGTTACAAGTGGAGATTGTGCTAAAACCTCAAAGTCAGGATGATGGAGCAAGTGGTCTACCTGTAGATTATGCAATTCTGGGCATCAGAAAGTATAGCTTCCTTTTATTGTTGTCCAGTCATTCTTTCATTCATGTCTGACTCTTCATGATCCCATTTGGTATTTCTTTGGCAAAGATACCGAAGTGGTTTGCTATTTCCTTCTCCATTTCATTTTACAGATGAGGAAACTGAAGTTAAAAGGGTTAAGTGACTTGCCCAGGGTCACACAGCTAGTAAGTGTCTGAGGCTGAATTTGAACTCAAGAAGATGAGTCTTCCTGACTCCAGGCCTGGCACTCCATCCACTGTACCACCTAGCTGCCCATAGCCTCCTAATTATGTTAAATTAATATTAGTTTGAGAAATTAATATATTTGCTATTTAAAATGTGATCTAGACTAGCACCCTATAGTCATGGAGGGTAGGAGAGATGGGGCAAAACAATCTAAGAGTGTGCTGGATGGCAAGAGGAAGTTAGAAAGTGATTTTAAAAGTGATTACAATTTTGCCATACATATCCTATAAAATGGGTGATTTCCATGAAGATAACCAGGCATTCACAAAAAAGCTTATAGATGATAAGAGTTTAGAGACAGTAATTTTTTGTAGGTTTAATGATCTAATTTAATTCATCCATAGCATCCATTAAACACCTACTATGTGCTTAATAGGCTATCTAAGTACTTACTATGTGTTATGAAACTCTGCACTATGTTAGGTACTTGGAGTGAAAAGAAAAAAATTAAATAGGCCCTGTGCTCACAGAGTTTACATTTCAGTGGGAGTAGACATGGGGATGGGCATAGAATTTATAGATAATTTGAAAGAAAGCAGGAGAAAGAGCAACTGAGGGATGAAGTCAGAGAAAGCATTAGGAAG